TTTGCCGCCTGCTCGAGCTTGAGCTCTTTCTCGATCTCGATCTCTCTGGTTACCGCGTTAGCTAATGTTAAAGAGATAGCATTAAATTAAAAATATACATTAGAAAAACAACAGTTGACCTCGTACAAATCGAAAGTATACGAGTCATGATTGATTCCCGGAAGCCAAAGTGCGATCACCAAACGTTAACCGCTGAAAAAAAATCAAAACAATCGATGAAAACACAACAAATAATTGAAGAGCTAACTAAATACATAAACAGATTGAGAGAGCGAGAAAGAAAAATCACCAGAAAAAACAGGGGGAAATGGAATCTTATAGTGGAGGATAAATGAGGCGTGGACTTCAAAAGAGGAGTTATTTGCGGGACAATGGATCTATGGAAGGTTCCAGGAGCCGCATATATTCCTTCTTAGCTGGACAAATTGCAACTAAATAAATAGTTTTTCGTAAAAAACAAATAAAAATTGAAACAAGTTGGGAAAACAGTTGCTGTCAACTTGTTGGGTGGCGATTAATGGCCCTTCGATTTGTGGAAATATGGGTTCCACGTTTGGGATTAATCTCTTTCTCTCCGTCCGATTTCGAGGAGACTTTTCTTGACCGCTTCTTTTTGTTTCATATATTATTTACGGTAAAATACACTCCAATTCACTCAATTGTTAGTTCAATTTTAAATTGGTCATCACTTATTAAAAAGTATGATTTAGTCATTCAGTTAAAATATTAAGCTTAATGTATGAATAAGTGCTCAAACTATACGTTAAGTTAACTTTAGGCATCTAATTTTTTTTGTTAAAATATGTACTTAATTTTTTCTCTATTACATTTTTAGGTGCCTAACATTTTATTTGTTATACTTTTAAGTGTTTACATTATAACGACCGTTAAAAAAATGTTAATTGACATATGTCAAATTTATATATATATTTTTAAAAATATTTTAAGAAATTAATTTTTTTCAAAAATACCTTCAATTTTTTTCAAAATCTCAAAAACACCCTAAATTACACTAAATGTCCTTGTCTGTTCACTGCCATTCACAACCCCGCTTCAATTCTATATAAGGATAAATTTTCAAGCCGAAAATAATCAATTAACCGACTTCAATTCATATTATTTCTTCAAGAAACACTGTTTCAATTCCTTAGACAACTTAATTTTGCAAACACCGTCATCAAAGACAACCCCATTGTGCCCATTTACTCTTTGATGGTATAATAATTGATGGCCTCGCTACTTTCATATGCAAATGAGAGAATGAAGTAGGGGAACATATAGACGAAACATATATTATTTGCAAAAATGAGATTTATAATTTAGATTCAAGGATTTGAATATTGGATTAGAGATTTTAGGAGATTAGACAACGGCAGATTGATGAGTGAGTGGTCGACGTCGACAACGACGGTCATAGATGACCGGTCGTGATAATGACAATAAAGAATTTTAGGATTTTAAGATTTTTTTGTTGTTGTGATTTTAGAGAAAGTTAGGATTTATTTTAAATGTATATATAAGTTTTTAAAAATAATATAAATATGATAAGTGTCACTTATCGATCTTTTTTAACGACTGTTATAGTGTAGATATTTAAAAGTGTAACAGAGAAAATATTAGACACCTAAAATTAATTTAGGATATAATTTGGACACTTATTTTTGTATTAAGCCAAAATATTATTGCAACGTGCCATTAGAACGTTAAAATTACAAAACAAAATAATGATGTAGCCTGATATAATAATTATTTTAGTCTCAAACTTATACATTATATCAATTTATTCCTAATTCAAAATATTTTAATAAATAAAATCTTCATATTTAAAAATCCCAACAATTTAATCCTTGTTCTTCTCCCAAATTACTTATTCTTCTTCCGTAAATGTCATACTACTTTCTTGTTGCTTTTAATTGTTCTAGATACCTTGTATTGTGTGGGAAGTTTTAAAAAAAATATTTCATATATAATTTATTTTTTATTGTACACTTTGAGGATATCTTTTTTTTTCATGCGTTGTTGTTGCTTTCAATGCATAAAATATAAATTACCCATATTGTTAGTGATAAATTCAGAAAAATTCTATAGGTTTTTTTACCATTAAAAATTATATATTTTTAATTTAAAAATATAATAACAATTATATATATATATATATGGATTAAATATAAAAAATATTAATTAGACCAATATAACTTTTTTAACATAATTTATACATATTTTTTATTTGAGCTAAACTAACTATTTGGTCACCCACCTATTACTTAATTTATGTTTTGGTCACTCAACTATTTTTTTTAAAATTATACATAACCTTGTACGTTTTGATTGTGTTTTGATCATACACCATTAAAAAAATTAACAATGATGCTAATATAAATTACCCATCTTTTTAATTATTTTTCAGTCCTGATGTGACATTATCTTATGATGGCACATCAACATCACCGCTAATTTTTTAAAGATGAGCGACCAAAACATAACAAAAATGTAACATTAAGTGTGATTTAAAATGAATAATAGTTTGGTGATCAAAACAAAAACTAAATAATAAGTGAGTGACTAAATAAACAATTTATCCTTTTTGGGGCATGGGTAAGCCATGACCTAGGTAGGCTTGGGCCTAGATACGTCCCTGCTTCTTGTTGACCAATCTAATCTCTAGATTATAAATTTAGTTACACTTACACATGTATTTCATAAGGTTACAAGTCGAGTTTGCTAAACAATAATTACTTGATATTCATTGATGGAATTCTTTTATTAGTAACTTTGTTGTTGATTTATGGTATAATGCAGTTATTCAACTATTAATACGATTTGATAATTGGCTTTGTTTGATATTATTGTAAAAAAATACACTAAATTAACGAAATTTTTAAATATAAAGAATAAATTTATTAAATAAATATCAATTTAATATAATGTATAAAATTTATTGATTAAAATTATTATTATACTAAATTTCATTAAACTTATGTTTCATTTTTAACATAGAAGTGATATGCTCGTAATAATATTTTAATTGAATAAGTAAATTACAACTTTTAAAGAGAAAATATATTGTTTATAACCGAATTAATAATTGATGACCTAAGATGTATTTTATCCTGTTATTTATTATGCTTTTGGGCCGTTTATGTTGGACCTACGTTTATATACTCTTGTTTTGGTTTCACTTAGGGGAGCCCTTGTGCACGTTTTTCCATAGAGTAAAGAGAGGCCGCCCTGTTGAGTGGCTCGTTTAAGAACCGACTAATATGAACTTAAGACAAAGCACATTGCAATCAAATGGTTGTCCCTTGTTCTCATATGTAATGGGGTAAGGGGAGGTAAGATAGTAGGCTGCCCCCAACACTAGGTTGAGAGCAACTTCCGTAGGAGACCTCCAAATTATAAAATGTCCTCCATAAGACTCGATCTCACGACCTCAAAGTTAAGAACCTTATGCAATCAAACAAAATCTAAATATGAAAAAGAACCAGCTAATATGAACTTAAAACGAAGCACATTGCAATATCTGATTATAAGATAATTCATGTTAAGCTTATAGACTGTTAGATTGTACATATATGAATATCAATTATTAAATTTGACTATCTAAGATCACACCAACAATTGAAAATTTTGAATTTTAAGAAACAATATTGATGAAAGATAATTTCATATAAAAACAAAAGAACATTAAGCATAAGGGTAGTCCGTTAATTAAGCTATTAAATAATACGGGTCTTACATGTGAGCTCATCAATATTAAGATAAGATAAACGTACCGTGTCTAAAGTCAAACTAATACTTAATTATTCCCACCAATATAGAGCTGGCTCGGTTGGCCAGCTACGTAAACCGTCGATGTAATTGTTTTGTTTTAATAAATATTTAAATATTGCAATAAACGTAAGATTTAATAGACGATAACAATTCATTTTATATGTAGAAAAATAAAAATATTATTTTTAAAAATAAAACATAAATTTGAATAAAAAAACTAAAATTTATTAATTGCGAATAAATTAATTATGTAAGAATAACGGAAAATTCATAAAATTAAAAATTAAACTCAAATACAAGAGAAGACGTCAAACCTTATTTTTATTCGTTGAAACAGGAAAGGCAATAATTGACAATAATGCAAGCTAAAGTTGGTAATAAGAACAAACAGGTTCTATTCTTTGGCAGCTAGTAGTAGAGAAAGCATGCTAACCGGCTGTTTGCAGCATTGAATTTTGAATTATATATTTTACTATTTTTTTTATATTTTAGAGTAAATTATATGTTTAATATCTAATTTATTAATTTTTATTCTATTTTGATACTCAAATTTTATTTTGTCAAAATTATATATAATGTTTAGTTTAAGTTTTATTTTGATATTTTATCATTAAGAATTTAACAATGATGTTGATATGTCATAATAAGGTAATATAACATTATATTTGAAAAATAAAAAAAATATACCACTTCAATAGTTCTTTTAATTTTTTTAACGATAAAATATCAAATTAAAACATAAACTAAACGTTAGACATAATTTTTAAAAAAATAAAATTTTGGTATAAAAATGAAAAAAATAGTTTATATAGTAAATGTATTGTTTGCCCTATATTGTATAAAGTAAACAATAAAGTTAAAATAAGATTGTGTTTATACAACCCAACAAACCGCCACGCGGATTAATATGGTTAGTGTTTATTTATTAAATCTCTGATTATAATCATCATTTCCACCTTTAATTACAGTTTGTAATTCCTCAATTCTCTCATTAGAACATCTCCCTTTTGCATTTTACCCGAGTTCTTTAAAGCCAAACAAACTCTCGCATTTTTCTCATTCACTCTTTCATTTCCAATAATTCTAAGAACTTTCTCTTTCTATCCTATCCTCCATTTGTTTTCTATTTTTCTGTACGTTTTTTAAATTTTATTTTTTATTGCTAATCATAAACAACTGAACTCTGTCCTGTATTCTCCTTCTTTCTTTTTTAATGAAACTGTAATGCAATGGAAAGTGGCAACCGGAGGAAGCTGACGCTGTTTGAGCAGATGATGGCGGTCAATAACGGCCGGGATACTCTGGCCGGTTTGACTCTTGAAGCCATTTTGGGAAACGCTAAGCGGCCTGAACAACCGTCGGCACAGAACCGTACGCTTATTGAGATCATACGAGACGATGAGTCTAACAGGGAAAAGAAGAGTTGGAAAACGTTACGGGACAAGCTCCGGCTCAAGCGACTAGTCTCTTCCTGGACCTCCTCGGTCCATATCCCGGCTTCTGATGCCATTGTTGATGGTAATAATAGATCCCAGTTCTCGCGGTACGGTTCCTTTCGTTCTCACTCTGCTGAACCGGCTCGTGTTGGGAACGGAGGTCAAAGCGCCGCGCGAAGCGATTCGGGTCGGGTTCTGAACGATGTCGACTTGCGGAGTAATGCTCCACCGTCGAGAAGCTTTAGGACATGTACCGCGGGAAACGGCGCTGGGAGCAGCGAAGATGACGACTCTCCTATGGCGCGTAATGAGACGCGCCAACTTGGAACGGTGTTAGCGCTGGATAGGGCATTATCTGAGAGAGAAGCAGCAGCGGAGGAGCCGGTGAGGATGTCATTGATGGACTTTTTGGAAGAAACAGAACTGAGTGGACCGAGACGCACGACGGTAAACGCCGGCGACGACGAAGAATACGAGGTGAAAGACACGGCGGAAGCGAGCGGTGGGATGCAGCACACGTGTTGCGTGTGCATGGTTAGGCATAAAGGTGCGGCGTTTATTCCATGCGGCCACACGTTTTGTCGGGTTTGTTCGAGGGAGCTTTGGGTTCAGAGAGGGAACTGCCCGCTCTGCAATGGCATAATCCTGGAAATTCTTGACATCATTTAAAAAAAAAACCAGTGATTATTTTTTAATACAAGTAACCTAAATGCAATTATTGTCTGGGATTTTGGTAAAATCTTTGAGGTGGTAAACAAATGATGTTGCTCTTGATGATTTTGTTAACAGTTGTTATTGCAGTTAACTTTATTTCCACTTTATATGTGATTGATGTTTTGTTATCCCGATATTGTTGATATTATACGTATTTGATATAATTACAAGTTTACGCGGTAACAAGTTCTTGTTAGAAGAGTATGTGTTATATTCAGCTTCCTTCTTTCTCTCTCTGATTTCCTATGGTATTTGTCGGGCCATAAAACGAGGACCATTCTCTAATGCCATACGTCAAAAGAAAAGGCAATTAAATCTGCATGTATCCTCCTGCCTTGGATTTAAATGCTGCCCATTTGATTTTCCTTTCTTAAAATTTGAAGTAAAATTTGAAGCGGGAATTTGTATTTTGTTTTTAAAATTTGATCCCACAAGAACAAGATTATGCTTGATCTGCATTTTTTAGACTTTAACACTTGAGGTTAAGCCTTAAAAAAAACAGTGAGATTATGCTTGGAATTTGCAACTTATTTAGATCAGCTAAAAAAATATTTTTAATAGTAATATTAAAGAACACAATTAATACTTTAATAGTAATATTTGTTGGCAAATTTCCCAAAAAATCACCTCTTCCATTTTTATTTCTCGATCTAACACCCTTTGCAGAAAGGCGCGGTACGCTGATGTGGCGCCACGTGAGATAATGCGCGGCCCATGCACCGCGCCTTATGATGACATGGTGCCACGCTCGGTAAGGCGCGGTGCATGGGTCGCGCCTTTTGCCACGTAGGGTAAGGCGTAGTGCATGGGTCGCTCCTTCCTGAAATTCTGACACGCGTCAGAATGGCGCGGTGCATGGGCCGCACCTTTGCTTTAAATCCGGCCCCCACCAGACCGTTCACATCTCCATCCCACCCTTATATATACCTCAATTCTCAATCATTTTCATCACACCAAATCCTCTCAAATACTCTTAAATTCTCTTATAGCTCTTTAAAGTATATTTTATTATATTTAATATTTTGTTAGTATTTTATTTAATTATTTAATTCTTTTAAAATTTTTTTAATTATTTTTTTGCAGTTATAAAATGGAAGACGATCTGCTTTGTTTGGATGGAAATCATATATCTAGATATTTTGCTGATACTGTAACATTTTTACATTTTAGTTTAAATTATTAGTAATAATTTATTTATTTAATTTTTATTATTAGTTTATAAATTAATTTTTGTAATTATTAATATTTTTAGGAAAGCGACCGTATATTAGATCCTTTTATCTGGAACCTTAAGTTAGTGATACCAACCCATGTTTAGATATATTTAGTCGAGGCTCGATTCAGTCACATAGCTAGATATGAAGGCCATTGTAGGATAGAACCAAACTTTATTTCTGCATTAGTGGAGCGGTGTAGATCGGAGACTCGCACATTCCATCTTCCGTGCGGAGAGTGCACGATTACGCTTGAGGATGTTTCTATGCACTTGGGGTTTTTGGTGGATAGAGATGTGCTTTCAGGGATGTCACATGTTAACTGAAATACTTTGTGCCAGGAATATCTAGGACGTGTCCCGCAAATTTTAACGGTGGTCGGATACCGTTAAATTGGTTATATGCAAATTTTTAGAATTTGAGTGAGAACGCCTCAGAGGATCAAGTTAAAAAGTATGCACAGGCATGCATACTGCAACTGATATGAGGGTTGTTGATGCCGGATAAATCGCGCAACCAAGTTCATTGTATGCGGTTGCGGCATCTTGGCGATTTTCATTTGGTTGGATCACTGAATTGGGGCTCGGCAGTTTTGGCTTTCCTGTATAGGGAGATGTGTCGAGCGACTGACTATAGGAAAATGTTATCGGCAGATGTCTCATTCTGCTGCGGTCTGGGCATGGTATCGCTTACCCTTTTTATGTCATGTTGTGAAGAACCCGTTTGTATTCCCGCTACTATTGAGGTAATTACAAAACTGATTTCGTATATTAATCATTTTACCCAGTGTACAATAAAAATTACTTCCTTGAATAGGTGGTCTATTGGCAGAAAAAATCATCGGGATCTACATGATGAATTAGAAATAATCAGGCTACTAATCGATCAGAAGGCTGGCACAGAGATATGTATTTTAATGTTTGAAAATCTATTTTCTTATTATAGTTATATAATTAAATTATTATTTTGATAAGAATTATATATATTTGTTTTAGTTTGAATGGGCTCCTTATTGTAATGATGATATAAGGATGTGTATCCCACCTGAGTTAAGGTGCCCGTTAGATGTTTGGATGGCGGTGGTCCCTCTGATATGTTATGTGATTATCGAGTGGCACCCCACTGATCGTGTACTCCGTCAATTTGGTTTCGTACAACCAATTCTGGAAGCACCTCGAAATATGAACCAGTTGTATAACACAGATCGACGCGGTAAGACGGATATAGATTAGCTGGTGAAGCATTATGAGTGGGTGATAATATGAGAGGATCGACATCGACGCATTCCTCATAAAGAACCCATTTATGTTGACCATTTGACGGTTGCAGATGGTTATTATGAGTGGTTAACAGTAACGGAAATCTGTTTCTGCTTTCTGAGGATGCATGAGGATGAAACATTCATTGACGTAGACAGAGATGTGCACCGTCACAACCCCATTATCCCCCGACTCGTGGACATAGACCATTCGTCGTCAACTGCACCACTGGAACCTTCACAACAACCACCGTCTGCAACGACATACACCCCACGGCCATATTTGATGCCACCACCGTCTTCCCCTTACCATATGTCGTCGTCGCCACCGTCACAGAGTTATATAACCCCTCCTGGAGGATATTATGGTTCTATGTTTACATATCCGACTTGGGGTTCATATGCTGGTTATTTAGCGGGTGCATCGTCATCACCGATGGCTGTCGCACAGACTCCTCCTGTACAGTTTTCTCACTCATCGATGTATGTGTTTTATGAGTTTTCTCAATTTTTTATGAGCGGTGGGATAGTCAGTCATACAACTACATGGTCCTTATTCTATGGAGGTGCTATATCGTCATCAGTTCCTCGTCAACAAAATGTATCTGCTCCTGACGACGACGACGACGATGGTGATGATGATAACAATGAGGAGTTAGAATCAGTTATACGAAGAAATCCTACTCGAGACAGACAGCCATAGCCCTGCGGAACACATTCGCACTGGAGACATTGATAGTTTTTTATATTTTATTATATTTGTATTTACTTGTTTATTTGACTTTCTTTATTGTAATTATTATTATTATTTATCATTTAATACTTAATTAATTTTGTTAATTACTTAATTCAAGCGAACGATAATGATCATTTAGTGCTTTTTAATTGTTTTTATAATAATAATAGTAAATTTATGGCATTAAAATCATTACACGTTACTGTAGTCGGGCTGTCAACTTTATCAGCTTGTTTAGCCAGCCCATAGTGAGAGCTTAATGACAGACCCCGAACAGCACGTACTTCAACAAACTTTGAATACATTTCCGTATCAGCGTCTGAATAATGATTTTGAGAATCAACCATCATTTCAACATAATCATTGTTCGATAGTTCGAACACTGTATAAGTTAACGAAAACATTGATGTTGGAAATCTGTACAGAACCGACGACATTCTTCTAGTACTTCCAACATGAACCTTTCTTGAAATTTTTTTATCAACTCCTTAAGAGTTATGTTTCTCTTGAAGGATATTTTAACATAATGATTTGATACGAAAACAACGTCGGTTTCATCTTCCCGAATTTCTCCATCATAATAAACAATAGCTGAAATTCGCGTCATTCTTATAGTTTGAAAGTGGGACAATCTTATATCTGCAAAAAAAAAAAAACTGAAACAAGTCTAATTAAATAAATAATATATTAATTAAAATATAACGCAATAAATTTTTTACACATAAACGTAAATAATTTAAATAATATAATTTTATATTTTTACCGTCTCCGTAAAAATATTTCGACGTATGATTCCGGTTTCCAATTTTACAACCATAAAAATTAATTGAAAACGATTAGTATAATATTTTTTTTCAAATAATCATATATGATTATAAAAAAATTACCTTACAACGAAAGGTCGAACGAACTTCTCAATCAAAGATAAGCGAATTGTCGGGTGATATTTACGGGTTAAAAGGGTTATTGTTTGATGTTTTCGGTTGAGAGGTTGTTGTGTGAAAGTTTACGGGTGAGGATTATTTATAGCCGAGAGGAAACACTTTAAAGCCGAGAAGTGCGGATACAATTATACAAGGTGCGACCCATGCACTGCGCCATTCTGACGTGTGTCAGAATGTGAGGAAGACACAACCCATGCACCGCGTCATACACTACGTAACATAAGGTGCGACCCATGCACCATGCCTTACCCAGCGTAGCGTCATGTCAACATAAGGCGCGGTGCATGGGCCACGCCTTATGTCACGTGGCGCCACATCAGGGTAAGGCGCAGTACATAGGTCGCGTCTTTCTGCAATAGGTGTTAGATCAAAAAATAAAGATGAAAGAGTGTCTGATAGGAAAATAAAGATGGAAAAATAAAGATGGAATGGGTGATTTTTTTTGGAAATTCGCCATATTTGTTTAGAGCTGAATGACAATTGACAAGTGTGATGAAGCGGTCGGACGAAAAGCAAAGCTGCGCTCTGGCTTTAGATTGGGAACTGTTAGAAAAGCATGAGAGTTGTGGTTTGTTTTAGTGTGTGGAAGGTTACGATTCTTTCAACAGTAACAGCAACAGCACTTCACACAATCCAAACATTACATTCATTTTCATACAGAAGAGCGAGCAAGTTCGTAGTTTCTAAACGAGGAAAAAAGCTCATTTTGTCTTTTCGTTTTCAATTGTTACAGCACACTGATTATAATACAAAAGCTTCTTTGTTTCTGTCTGAGCCCATGCACCTCTGTATTGTCATTCGGGCTTTAATATTATAAAGCTAGTATTTTGAATTTTAAGTTATTTACATTATTCAATTTTGTAAATTGAATAATTATAATTTTTATTTAAATTTTGAGTTTAAGTAAAATTTAAATTTAAAAATCAAAATAACATCATTTTATTCTTTAATTAAATAATTTGATTGTTCTGTTATTCATCTTTAATTTCATTATTCATTCAACTTTTTTATTTTTATAAGTATATTTTGATTAAATTTGAATCATATATCTCTCAACCACTATAAAATAGGTGTGTAACTTTAATTTCTATTTTTGACAATAAATTTTTTACTTTAATTCCTCAATTTTATGTTTATTCAATTTGGTCAATCAACTTTAATTCTTTGTAAATTTTTTCTTTCAATAATTCTTTTAACTTCTTTACACTCACGTCATCAAAATGCATTTTTTTAAATATTATAAATATATTATATAATTTTAAATAATATTTGATGTATTAAATAACATTATAAATTTTATTTTCAAATGTGAAAAAAATAATATATATATTATACGATTAGAGAGTGTTGTTTAAATCAATCACTTAAAAACATTATAGTAATAAAAGATTTGTGAAAAATATGAAATTCTCACCCTTAAAATTTGTGATTTGAGAAATTAAGACATTAGAATAAGAAACGATTTAATTTATGAAAATACTGAACCGGTTAAGATTTTAAAATTAAAATGTCAGCGACCACATTAACGATGAACAGCATGCAGATCTGATAACACAACAGTTGAGAAAATGGGGCTTTTGGTAAATGTTAATGAGGTGGGGGCTAAGGCAGCCCCAGCGTGTCTGAGAATAAATATTGAACAAGAAATGATGCGGCTCCACTCTCTACTGTGTTGCCCAATAAATATCCAGAAGTTGGATGTATTTGCTGCTCTTAGAGAAGCATTTATGATGCATGATTTCCCATTATTGTGGACGCCACTCTCTTTAACTTTCTACCTAAAAACTTCAGTCGCCTCTCGGTTCAACAAACGACTTTAAGAACCTTTCATTAACAACCCATTTTTCCGAATAAAAAAAAATTAACTGACCCTATTCTCATATGTAATGAGATAAAAGGAAGTAGGATAATAGGCTGTCCCTAACGCTAAGTTGAGAGTAATTTTCGTGGAAGACCTCCGGAAGTCAGAATTATGAATTGCCCACCGTGAGACTCGATCCCATTCAATTAAATAATTGGTGTAATGACATAAGGCTCGAGTTGTTACAAAATCTCCGATTGATACCTATTTTCAGACTTGAACCCTGAACAACCCTCCCTCTACAGGAACAAACTATTGGTGGGTTAGGTTCCGAGGACGGTTAGTGATCGATCAGAAAACTGCGAAGTAATGTTCCGTTGAGTCCAACTAAGGTTAAGCAGACATGCATTAGCAAAAGATGTGGGACAACATAAAACTCGACGCTGGTGACCATTCATACATCAATATAATAACGCTGTCATCGGACTCTAGATAGAGAGAGAGAAGTGCAACCATACATATCTTGTGCTTCTCCAATACATCCAGATATACTATGTGAATAAAAACATTCTACTGGAGAAAGCATTGATTAGGTCTTTTCCGAAACCGAAAGAAAATAAGTTGATCTCGAATGTCACGTCATTTATAGCCTAAAAAAATAAAGCATATACTTGGCAAATACTACATATGCAGAATACTATTTGGAAACATAAAACACTTTGATGTGTTCTATGAATTCCAGGAGTCCGATAAAAAAAATGCAGTATCGGCCTCCTTTATACTCGTCGGACCCGGGAATGATACAGGAACCACCATACTTAACAAAGAGAGAGAAAAGGGCTATGGAAGAAGGGGAAGAAAAGCTCAGAAGCACACTTATCTACTCAGCCTTTGGTTCTCATAATTGTGATGCTGCCTTTTCCTCCTTCGGTACGAATTTTAGTTTTGCCAACAACAGGCTTCCCGGAAAAAGCAGAAGTAGGGAAAGCGTCGGCAAGATCTTCATTGCTTTGTTTTGGTTTTGCTGGTGGTGGAGTTTGGATTCGCTGGTTTATATCCTTCAAAGTAACATCTCCGTGGACACCACAGGGTTTAATGAAAGCAAATGGGTACGCGACAGCTGATGCTACCTTAGGGGGCATCCGAATGAAAGACTTCCGACCTAAATCAAATCTGACAGTGTTAATGCGACTTCGAGGTAAAATATTCATTTAAAATGAGGGTAGGTCACTTGGTTCTGCTTGAAGGACATGGTATTCGAAATAGATACACATGCAATTCATATAAGCTTATACCAGTCCTTTATAACAACGGCAAGAGTAGATAGGTGGAGATAGAACGTACCGAGACATGACAATCGAAAGGTAAACAAAATTCAATGGCAATAAACAACAGAGTAAACAAGATAGGTTACCTTTGAGAATAACATTTCCAAGAGTTCGAGTTTCCTGCTTTCGAATAGCATCAGCCCCAGAGTCAGGTTGGGCATGGTAGAACCCTATGAATGGAGAGTTGAGTTTCGTTGTAAAACCGAGAGAGAGTGATAGAACAATGACACGCAAAATATATTAGAAGGAAAAAATTGAAGCTAACAACAGCACACTGTATACAACATCTTCAGAACAGGACTAATGTACCTGAAGTATCAACTTGAACATCAGATGCACCAGTAAGATTCCTGAATCTCATATCATAAAGCAATCAGAACACATTCATAGCATGATCAAACAAAAACATTGGAAGTCCATAGAAAATACATATCATCAGAGCTCAGAAGCATCTCCGTCTCATTAAAATATTCAGCAAGCCACCCTTCACATGACTGATCTATGCCATCATAACCGGAGTCTGATGCATCTTCTGCAATATTTTCTCACGATTAAAAACCCTAGTATGCATTTCAATCAAGTTGGTTTTTATTTATTCATATGGGCTTGCATGAGAAACCTGAAAATCCGGCAACCCACTCAGATGCATCGGGTAAGACCTCTTCAATGAAGCCATCCCTTTCCTAAGAATGGAAAGAAGAAACAAATTAACAAAACATAGTAATAACCATGGTACATTTTAACCAATATTCATAAATTGTGACTAGGCAGACGTAGATTTTATTCTCAGTAATACAAAACAACTACGATAATTAGTTCATTTCTAGAACCATGATTCACATCTAGTATATCAATCTATGTCAGCTATTAGAAACAAAGTTGAAAGATAAAAGTTTGGAAAACATGGCATGCTTCTTTCAGGTTCACAGGATTGAGTTATCTAGCACTCACCCTTGATTTCAGGAAAGCAGAAGGCATCTCGTCACACACAAGGGAAGAATCTGCTGCATGAGAGTCGAATTGAAGCATTCTACGTCTTTTAAATTGAGAAGCACTCTCCCTAATATCCTCTGATTCCTTACTCATATTATCTGAAAGTCGCAATCTTATTAGTGATTACTTCTAAAGGAAATAGAAGAATAGGTGTTATGGTGACAATAAGTTTACAAAGAGTATCAAGTAACAAAGCTTACCATTATGAGTGACACGGTATGACAGATCCCCGCATTCCTTAACAGGGGTTGTTTCGTCAAACATGTAGGAAAGGTCTTCTTCGTTCAAGGTCACTTGAGTCCATGCACCTTGAGAAGCACCTGCTTAGATATCATTCAGACATCAGTAATCTATTGTCTTGAATCTTTTTACTCATTTCGTTACTTCAAACACATTAACTAGATAATCTGAGGTAATAAATTACCAAAATCGTTGTCCTTTTGAACACCATAATTCTCGTCATGCCAATTCCAAGGCTCCCTGTCACCGATCAAGAGAAAAACAAAAATTAGTAAAGCAATCAGGCCAAAGCTAAGAGCCAATGCAGACTTCACAATGAACCATCCAACGCTTTGCCCAAGTGGAATCCATGCTGCATTTTACAAGCATTAAGCAAAATCTTAAATGGGATTTCTATAAGTTTAGGAAATTATCGAGATAAACAACATCAAACAGTAAAAATTTCCAACTCAGAAGTAAAACAACAAAAAGGAAAAGGGAAAAGCAAAAGTTGAAGTATTGGATCCAATAGTTGTTTATGATCCAAACAAATTTCACCTGTACAGTAACAAAAAGGACACATGTACCATTTAGATCTAACAAGAAGGAAAAGGGATCATAATCTATGTGTTTTTCAGCATTGATGTTTAAGCTAACCAAAAAGCAAAAGAACAAATTAAAAGACACTGCGACCTACCATTTTTATAAGAGCCCACACCTTCACTCTTTCAATTTAGCATTTTAGTTACAGAACAAAATACAAATCCAAAAAAAATCCCATTTGCTGCAGTTTATACATTAAACAGAACTTAAAATAAAAAAAATCGAACAAGAACCTAATATTGGAAAAAGAAGCACTGATCAGAAAAATATGCAAATAAATTGTCATAAAATTATAAAACTAAAACGAACAAGAAAAACCCAGAAACAATATTATGCATTTTAAAACCAACTGACATCAAAGAGAAAAAGAACTTCACCGATCATAGTTGTAATCCATTTTCTTCTGTTTCTCTTCAAAAACTGAATCAAATGACACCCTTCCCCCCTTAATCTCAAGCCTTCACTCCTTCAACAATACGCTTAAAGTAGCCGTTACACAGAGATCGACAATTCTTTCTTCTTTTTTAACTATATATCGAAGCGAAGCAAATCACTCACGCAAATACAGATATATATATATATATATAAAGCATATAAAGCAGTGGAAGCAGCACTCACTGCTACTTCACAGCAGCCTTTACTCTTTGGCTTTTACTTATATCAGATATGCGCTCTAATATCTATGATCGAAACAAAATATAAAGTTCTATATTTTAAACTATTTTTTTTTTGGCTTTACGTTATTATAAGCAAAACAGAGAAGACTCTACTGAGAGGTTAAATTTTGTTAATCTGTCATTAATTATGCTAAGATTTCTTGCTTTATTTTTGCCTATTTTTAGTTTTTTTTCTGCCGGGAGACTGATTCACGCGACTTTTTATGGTGTTAGTCAACGATCGAGATAGGGAAACGAACAGTTCCGGGTAAAGTTTGAAATACCTGCCTTGTGAAAAGAAGAATTGAACGAAGCGCGTGGTGGTGGGCTCCGGCAAAGATATTAAGTAGAAACGTAAGATGTGGAGTCAGACAATTGAGGTGAAAAAAAAAACGATTTCGACTAAAAAAATATTTTTTTTTAATTTAGTTCGATTTAAAAAAAAATCTACTTAAATTGATTTTAATTTATAATTTTAAAATCTTGACTCGATTTAAAAAAATTCAAATTTAAATCAAATTATAAAATATAACTTAAATAGTAACTAGAATAACGTAAAACTTTTAGTAATTAGTATATATCACAAATGAAAAAAATTAGAAAAATATATATGAATTGTATATAGTTATAAAAACAACCATTTAAAGTATAATCAAATAATATCATAATATTATAAATATTTATAATTAAATTTAAACATAAACTTTAAAATTTAACTCAACTTAAATTTTATAAACTATATTCGAAAAAACTTTAAATCGAATAACTTCAAATATTTTGACTATATAACACTTATAGTAAATAAATGGTCGTGGTTTTTAGTTGGGAGGAGTGAATTGAGACATTGACATTTGATAATGGGCTAAAAGAAAATGGGCCCCTTGATTTTGCCTTCATACTAAAAATAATTCGGCCGGATGAAATTTAATATTTATGCCATGTTTAATAATTGTTGAAAAAATAATATTATTTTAGTAATTTATTGTTGTTAAACGTGTGGTAATTTTAAAATATTTTTTATATATATTTTTTTTAAAAAAATTAAAATTTATAGGTAAATTATTACGCATTAATTCAATTTATAATTGATAATTAATTTAAATTTTATTTTGATTATAATGATTGAAGATTAATTGATGATTAAATTTATTTATAAAAAATTATTGTGAAATAAGAATTTAATATTGACGAGCAAATTTATATTCTCTATAAACACGCAGTGTGTCTTAATCTCTATAATTACAAAAGATGATTATTTTAAAGGAATAAAACACCTCTTGTTTTGATGTTTGGTTTTGGAATGATTCCAATTAGGAAGAGAAATAATAGTCCTTAAAATAATAAAATTTCTTCATATTTTTCAAATTAGACTATTATTTTATTCACTTATAACATATATAATTTTTAGATTGTATTTGATATTATCTCTTCAATTAACGTTTATTTAGTTATTTCGTTAACCTAAATTTATTTTAGACCTTCTGATTAATTCTCTTGCAACTTCACAGTTAGAACGAAAGCGAGTACTTGGATTGCCACTTGAAAACCAAGTTGTGAAACTAACTCGACCTATTGCACAAGAAGAAGAAAAGGTTTATATATCTTTCAAATGTTATCTCTACACCCAAGGAAGACTAAGAAATCATATTGAGCTTGATCCTGTTAAAAATTGCAGAACTCCTTGCCTGTTAATCTTTTAAAAAGGATAACCGCTTGAGAGAATGTCTAAGATCTCTGAAGCTAGCTTAAAGGTAAACAATTTCTTAACTTGTTGTTTTCGTACCTAATCGAACTAAAGAATCGATTGGCTATATGTGTTGTAATTTGTTCCATGAGTGACCATGTGAATTGAAATGTAACTCCAGAAACCAGATTACGACACCAAATTTGCAGGCCTAGAGTGCATTTCCCTTTCATGTACTGGATCGAGTGTATGTTACTTTAAGCAACATGACTCCCTGCTTGTTTTGACTCCAGGATGACAATTACAGAGTTAAAAGGGCATTCCAAACCCTGTTGATCTATGTCAGAAACGTCGCAAAGAGTCCTGATGAGGAAAAGTTCAGGAAGATCCGACTTGGTAACCCAAAGTTCCAGGTAAGGTGACTTAATCCGATGGAACCGCATCGAGACCTTCTCTGTGCTTTTCTTATTTATTTAGTGACGATGAACTTTAATTCAATTCAGGAAAGGGGTTTTTTTTTTGAAAATAAATTCAGGAAAGGGCTGGGAACTTGAAAGGAGAGATTGAGTTTCTCGAGCTTTGCGGATTGGAGAGAGGTGAAGAGAAAAAGTTCTTGGTTTTTCCTCGTGATAAAGTTTATATACGGCTGCTTAACTATGCTGGTTCTTTGTTAAATTCTGCAATGACAAATCCCTTCTTCGGTCTTCTCGAAAAGGTGAAAGAAGATTAGAGTTGTAGTGAATATATGATGTATACAGTGTCCACAAATGAATAAGGATTAGAATGTTGTGCATCCCAGTAATTTTTAAGAGTTTACAGGTGTGTGTTCTCCGTCTTTCTTGGTTACAATCGAATGCGAAATTAATAACAGTCACTAAGCCTCACGTTGGCTTCAATGCACATTGCCTGGACCATCCAGCTCCAAAATTTCATGCAATTCGCTCGGTGTCTCGGGGAGTAAGTGGAAGCCACGGGTGACTCTGGAAAGTCTTGTTTCAAACGAGTATAGGCCGAACTTATCGACCAATTTAAAAACATAATTGTTTTTAACAATTAAATCATACTGTAACAACCATTAACTATAATCTCAACCACAACTATCACCACAATAACAATTTAGTAATATATATACCTTCATAATCAGCATGTAAAGAACAATACACAAACTGCATCAACTCCACTATTGGTACGTATTGAATGTATTACTCCGTACTTTTTATATTTTTTTATTAATATAATACTTTTTATATTTAAATAATACATTTTAAACGGCCTGTCTGGGTCAACTCCGCTATTCAAATTTAATTTTCAACGCATTAATTTAAAAATATTGCCCTCTGACATAAATAACGGAATAGTCCGTTATTTTACGCCGCCATCGCGTGTGCTCTATAAAATACTACACAGCAGAGTTTAGCTTTAACCTCAGGCTCAAGTTTAGTTTCAAACGTTAATCAATGGAGTACAAGATTGTATGGCATCATTCTCACTCTCTGCAAATCATACCCCACCACCGTCGAATATCTCCGGCTTCAATCCACATTATGTTAACCGTTAATGTCCGCTACATCACCACCGCCTCCGCCGACCCTTTCTTCTCCCGACGAACTCTTTGTTTCCGTCTGAACCTTCTGCAAAGCCCCCGCCGCCTTAACGAGGTTCTTGCTCCAAAGCTTGCAGAGCTCAGAGTCGACACTTCCTCCGCTGCTTATGAAGGTGTCCTTCAAGATATAATCCAATGTGGGTTTCGAACTGTTCGTGGAATATTGGACCGGGGATATTACTGCCAAGCCTTGCAATTACATTCCGATATGCTTGTGGGACTGGAACCCGTGACCGACGAGGAGACCTTGATGAGCAGAGCTTTGGCGGAATCGAGGAGGGAACTTGAAAACAATAACTATGGAATGGTAGGAGCGACAGAGTCATCTGTTAAAAAGATGGTAAAGAGGGTCAAAGTAGAAGATGGGGAGAAAGAAGAGTGCATGGTGTGCTTAGAGGAACTCAGCGTTGGATTTGAAGCATCTCAGATGCCATGTTCTCATCTCTTTCACTGCGGTTGCATCGAAAGATGGTTGAAGCAGAGCCATTATTGCCCTATTTGTCGGTTTGAGATTCCCACCAATTAGATGGATGACAATTCTTTGTGTTACTGTTTTGTTCATTAATTTGTTTCTTGTAGAACTTGTGCTTGCTCGTAAGTTGGTTTCGTTATTTTACCCAGAAAAAGGGAAGTAATCTGATTGGACAGAAGATATCCATTGTCGGTGATGTTGAAGATGAAACTTAAAACCCAAGAAAAAAAATATTGAAATACATGCATGCCTATGAGTAAAATAAAAATATTTGTAATAGAATCCGTCAAGTTACCCATCTGATCTTCTGAATCTCCAATGACTAATTATATATCACGCGCCAAAACTATAAATGTTAATAGTTGGAATTTAAAATAATAAGGAAAACGTTAATTCTTATATTAACAAAAAAATATTGAAATAAAAAATAACTTAGAGAATTATTTTTATAATACCAAATTCTTTGGTATATAATATAAAAATAAATGTTTAAATTATATGTTTTCAATGTTATCATTTAGGTGTTTATATCGTAATGGTTGTTAAATTTTTTTACTAAAAATAAATTAACCAATCAATATTTGATATGTGACTTGATTTTTTATTTTCCTTAATTTTTTAAAAAATAAATTTCATAAATTTAAAAAAAAACAACCTAAACTTTTCCTATATTTCATAAAATACTCCAAGATCTTCAATTTCGACATTGATCACCACTGTCTGTGACCACCTACTCACCAACCAATCACCAGCGCGTCGACCACTCAGTTATCGATTGTGATAGATGGGAATTAGAATTTAGAGATTTTAGATTTAAGGATTTTGGAAGTTTGAAGTCACGATTTACAGTCGATGATGGATGGGTAGATGGTGACATGTGGGTAAGTAATCAGTGGTGGTGAAAACGATGGTGATCGACCTACGGGTAAAGTGATTGATATAGATTAAGAATTTTGAGATTTTTTTATATTTAGAAAAAAATTTAAAAGTTTTAAAAAAATAATAATAAATTTAAGATTTTTTTTTAAATAAAAATGTCATGTGTTAAATTTTGAATGATTGATGAAATATTTTTAATGTCTATTAAGATCTAAATATTTAAACTATAAAATTAAAAATGTTAACATCTAAATTAATAAAAAAAACTAATATATAAATAAAAATATATAATTTTGACATTTATTTTATATTAATCCTATCGATTAAGGGTGTGCAAATCCGGGTACCCAAAAATTTTTGGGTACTTGATTACTAGGTACCCGCAACATCCGGGTCGGTGATTTTTCGGCCCGTGTCTCGACCCGGATGTTGCAGGTACTTTTTTTTTCATTTTCAAATTATTAATTTAAAAAATATATATACAAATTTAAATGTTCGAAATTTCAAATTATATACCTTAACATTCGAACATAAAATTTAAAATACAAAATTTAATAATCCATGATATAAATAATCCATTATATATATATAACTAATCATGTACTTAGGTACCTAAAAAACTTCAATTTTGTGACTCAGGCATGACCTGAAGAAATGTCAAGCCGAGTACCCGACCCTTCCGGGTAAATATTTTTAAAAAATTACTCGATTTTATTAAGTTTAGATCGGTAGATCGGATCAATCGGATATGATAGTTTTGGACTCCCAATTACTGAACTCTCAAAAATCAAAATTTGAAAGCCGAAAAGGAAACCCAAAAAAGTCTTTCGCCTATCTACAAGCGGGTCCCGCTCTTAAAAAAGAAAAAAGAAAAAAGAAAAAAATCACTTCTTTTCATTTAATACAAATTTGGCTCTAGGGTTTTTGATTTTACCCCCACGCTAGCTAGATTAAATTTGTCTTTTTTCAAAAGTCCTCTACAAGGCAAATTCTTCGAAGTCTTCTGGCTCATTTTTAGCTCGTGATTTATAAATATAATTGTTTGGGTTAGGGTTTTAATTATCAGATAGAGATGTATGCTGATCGAGTGGAGGAGTGTGCTGGGAAAAGGTCGGTAAAGGAGAGACTCAATGGCAACTCGTCTAATAACTTAAATCCGCGACGTCAAATCACGGGCAAGAGGTTTGCTTCTATATATCTTTTTTTTTGGGTCTTGTTTGTTTTGAAGACGATTATAAATTGGGAAACAACTGGGTTTATTTGCATTAATAGGTAGCTTTGAAATTTTAGCTTTCAAAATATTTAGGTTGCACTGAACATTATGAGTTATTCCTTTTTTCCCATGAAGTATTGAGTGCTTTATATTCATTGCAAAATAGGCATTCCACCTGTTTCCCCTGGTTTATAGATGGAAAAATGAGAGAGAACTATCCAGCATACTGTTGTGGTTTTTATCTTTTGATCCTATACAACTTTCTTGTGTGTTCTTGCTGAGTATGAGCTTCGGTGTTCGTAGTTCAAGTTTGTAAGTGTGTATTTTACCTCTTGGATAGCAATGTTAACAGGAAAAAGGCATATTTTCCTAATAATGGGGATGTATTTTAAGCTAATATTAGCTGGCATCAATTGAGTTTGGTTTAAGTTGAGTTTGTTTTATTTTATTCTCTTGTGTTAATTCAATTCTCCTAATCTGCAAGCATCTTCATGCCATATCTTGCAGGCAGAGGCAATATGACAAGTGGGAACATGATCTTTTCCAAGATGTACCTAATGTTTCAAGTATGGATTGCCTGACAAAACCACATGCAACTAAAATATTGTTGCTATAGTTGGATGCAACTAAATCATCTCTATTTGGTTTTGACTGTGTGTTAATGGTTTGTGAAGATCGTAAAATCGATGCTCGAGATCTTCGTTTGAAGCTGCAAAGGAAAAGTGTCCGAAATGTGTCTCAAAGTGGAAGGGGAACTCCCTCAGGTATACATGATCTTCGTGAAAAATTATCTGGAACAATGAATCCTCAACCAATGAATGCTGATCCACCCACACAAAAAGTAAAAGTTGCCCAACAAGCCAGGAAAAGTGTAGCAGTTGAAACTACTGAACCAGAGCCCAATAGGGCTGCAAATACTAAAGCAAGAAAAAAGGCTAAGCAAAATGTATTTAGCTTCTGCACTTCTTTCGTACTAGCACATTTCCTTACATTTTGTAGTATTTTATGTTTATTGGACAAGCATGATATGTCAAAGCTATGTTTTTTCTGTACCTTCTGTCAGAGGTGTATGCATGTGGGGGGTGGGGAAGAGGTTCAAGAACTTGCAATCTAATGGTATGCATATCTTATGGGCTTGATTTCAATGCATGAGGAATCGAACAGTGTGGATTTGCCACATCATGGCATCCTTATCGCCAGGTCTTGTTTACATTAGTTTGGAATGCCAATGAAGTCAACTAGGTTAAGTTCCACCTGTCAACTCTGATTGTGAACTAACATTAAGACATTTACTGAAATTGGAATCTGCATAGTGTTGGCAGCTTCTAAGTCTAATTAGTGGGACAACGAACCAGGTTATGTCTTATGACGCTTTAAAGTGTATTTGCCAAGTTGGGGATTGTGTGGAATATGAAAAAAAAGGTCAATTAAAGACTTTCTGTTTTTCTCTTAAATGGAATGGTTAATGTCTCCATGTTTGCACTTCTATATTTCTATTTTGTTGTTTCTGACATAAGAGGCATTCCTCCGTTTTTTTAAGTTATGATGAGTCTGGACAATAGACATTGTTGTGTAGTTATACTTTTTTGTGTCTAAGCCGCGTGGTTTCATATGCAGGCTGATGCTTCAGTGGAGGGCTTCCTCCAGTCTCTGTGTCTCGAAAAATATGCAATAACTTTTCAAGTTGAGGAAGTATGTAGCTTACCTTCCTATGTATATTATTCCTCCCCCACCCCCTTTTCATCATTGTATTAAATTAAATAAATTTCTGTATCTGTTGTAAACTTCTTTCTGCAGGTTGATATGACTGCACTTGTGCACATGACTGATGACGATCTAAAAGCTTTAGGCATACCGATGGTAACTTTAAATCGTTTTTGTCCTTTTTTTTTTAAATTTGAGATGCTCCAAATGCTATTTCTCTTTAAAGAGCCAAGGACACTATTGTAATTAACAGTTAGATGCAATTTAATGCTGGCCACTTGGAAAGAAATTGGTATTTTTGGAATGTACTAATTATTGGTGCTGAAGGGAGTTCTAGAAAATTCTTTTATACGTCACTTCAATTCCATCTTTAGTCCTATATAATGTCTTTAAAGAACTTCCTTCGCCCATCAACCCTTAAGTTCTCACTTCATCATTCTGTTTTTTTGTGTAATATGCATGTATTGAAAGCATTCTGTTATCCCTATATTCGACTTGTTCATCTCTTTCCTGCAGTTAGTCTCAGTAATCTTTATGTTTGTACCTCTAGGGCCCAAGAAAGAAAATAATTCTCGAATTGGAGTCAAGAAGGTGATATTCGGAAATCTAGCAATGGTCAATCCTAGAAGATTGCAAGGCTGTATTTTGGCTTATAAGAACCTGCATATGTTGCTTGGGTTTTCATGCAGTTTTATTAACAAAAGTCTGTCGTGGGTGTTCTCTTTTAGAACATTAGTGGTTAGAAACTTTAAACCAACTAATGTGCTGCATTGTCTTGATTAATATTTTTGGAAGCTTTCATCAAACTGGACTCATCAAAATAGTCTCAAATTCAACAGATTTTTTTTTAATTCTATTGATACAAGCCATGCATAGAATGTTTCAAAAATTGCGTTTTAGATCTTGTATTGTTGCTTGAATGTCTCCCATGGCTTATAGTATCTTCCATCTTGCTGCTGATGCAATTGCTTGATGTCAGTCTTCGATACAGGGAAATACTTAAGATGCTGCTTTTCTTTAGCCTTCCAAGCTAGGTACTTGGCCTTTTCTTGCTTATATCTTCTCAACTCTCTTAGAGCTGCAAGCATAACATGCATCGAAACGGGCAAAAGGAAGGGCTGCAAAAATTTAACAGCCATCAAGTTTGAGCCTTGTTATTCAAGTCGATCCACTTAATTCCAATTGCCAAAGCAAAATCTCAAAATACATAAGTAATGAAAAACACGCTTTTGTAAGAAAATCTCAATTTCCCCTCAATTATTATCAAGCGAGAAACATGAAAGTTTCATTTAACTAACCGAGTAGACAGCAAAGCAGTGCTCGAAGGAATAGTAGCTAACGGACATAATTGATGGGTGGAAAAAGGCATCCTCTGCCAGAGACCTTGCTTTACTAGAGGAGGCTGATCAAAAAGGCATAAACCGATTGTTAGACGGCCTAGCCGATAAGAGACGTGGGCAGCAGATAATTAAGACACAATTGAACTATAATCTACAGGTAAGTTTAGGAAAATACCAGCTGAAGATTCACACATTCCACTAGAAGCATTACTTAGTGCCAGCTTTGCTGCCTCAAGAGAAAACTTTACCTAGTCAATGACATCGCCATAGATAGTTCAATCGTTATTTTCAAATGGAGTTACAAATGCAACTACTCCGATAAACAAACTTAGTATCTTACCTGTTTTCCTATCTCATCCATGATAATCATCATTGGCAATGATTGAACCTGAATTAAAATTTTTCATCAGTAGCAATAACTCTTATGGAATCAGATAGTCCTTTTTTAATACCGATGAACAATTTTGAAATTGATCCAAGTGTCGTAGAACATGAAGGAAGATTAAAACATGTTTGCTGCCGTGACAAGACATCCAATTCCCTGGACAAGAACTGAAAGTAAGAAAACTCGAACATGGAATGAACAACTGATCAAGACAATACATGTTTATTCTTTTAAGAAATATTGCATGGAATTTAAGGCTTAAGCAACCACAAAGAACAAGCATGGCGATCAAACCACTAGAAAGTTCAGTTTGGACTAACCCATTATTTGTTTGGAACTACAAAATATTAGGCATAGCTTGTTAGTTGCATAGAATTTTATCTTTACCACTCAGTAAAACCTCTTTCACTAGGCAGAAGGTACAAATCGCCTGATGCACCAGCATAGACATTGACAGATTTAAAACCAAAAAGTTGTCGGAACTGCCCAATGAATACTTCAAACATGTTCTCAAGATCCTGTTTAAGAATGTTCATGCATCAAAGTAGGGAAAACTAAACTGAAGCCACCTGCAATACAAGAACATGTACTTCTACTCATTCAATTACACACTTCTTTTACATGGTCCATCATCCAACTTGTATCGGAATTATGTTCTTGGCACTGGGCTTGAATTCTGGATCCTTTAAACAGCCTTGGGGGTTCCAAACAATAACACCTCCCCACATCTAAAATGTTTCATGAGAAGTAATAAGGTAACGAAGTCCCATAGAATAATTAGCAGTGAAATGCAGGAATATAATAAAGTCTTGATAACTAACTGGAGATATAAAGCCATTTGTCTTAGAAATCTTTCCATTTGGCAGCTAGAGAAGAAGAGGGCATTCCTTTGCAGATGGTACATATCTGGTGACAAAGAGGAAAATGAACAGCTTGAGAAAATGAAACAGGCATGCAAGCAAGCAAAACACACATATGAGAGTGAACAAGAGAGGCTATTAGAAAACGCATATCAAAGCTGGCTGACACTCCCGAGTCATCATCAAAATGGACATCAAACTAAAAATACATTGACAACACCCTTACAACTCAATAAATGCAACCGTTACAGTTAGGAAATAAAAGAAGCATTGAGTAAAAGAATGTACACCGCAAACTGCAATATCTTTGATTGCCCACCAGCTGCAATTGAAGTATCCAAGTGCCATTCATTAGAATTTACCTGTTAAAATCATAAGAACTTTCGTTACTTTCAATATATGACATTTCCCGTGGCCAAAAAAGCAATAATTGCATAAACATACAGTAATCCAAATAGAATGCAGCATTCTTTTATCGATAATATATTAATATACAGAAACAGAAGAAAGAACTTAAAAGATGCATACAAAGAAAGGAAGATCTTTGGTGCTAAAGACATAGCTGTCCAACTTTTGATTCCTATAAGAGAACGAGGCCTTTGGTGTATGGAACAAAACCTACATACGAGACCAATGAAACCAGTCAGAAGAAAACCAGAATACAAGATACGAATGAAATTAAGAAGGAAGATGATCCTTGACCTGACTCTCTACGCTGATGTTTGCCACAGGTCCCAAAGCCTCAATCATAGGGGCCAACAAGGTATCATCCATCTTCTCAAAATCCCTGCAGACCAGTACAAGGAAATATCAGATGAGCAAAAGGCTGCAGCACCATAACATTCTAACTTTAACATGTTTGGTTTAGAATAATTCTATCAAACGGTTCTTCAACTAAGATGTTCAACATAAACAAACATAATCGAAACAAAATCAACAAACTTTTAGAAATCAATCAAATTTACGAGAAGCATAAGTTAACATCAAAATGCTTCAAACCAATCAAAAACCCAATCACGTGGATCCGCATTGAGCAAATTGAAGGAAAGAACAATCTTCCCATCGGCTCCTATGGGCATAAACTCATTCCGAATCGACTCTTCCTCTCTTCCTCCATTAATAAACACCTTCACCAACAGCTCCGCAACCTTCACCGCTGCAACCTCCACCTCGCTGCCATCTCCAACTACCATCCATGAGTGTCTATGCTTCCCCACAACAGCTCTCTCACTCCCACCCTTCACCACCACAACACCGTACCCCTTACTTTTCCCGCCAAAAACTGACGCCAATCTCTCATCGACCGATACATCATGGTTCTGAACAAAATCAGTGGCGGTGATTGATCTGCACTGGTAAGAACTCGAATGTGAAGACGATGTTGGGCTGCGGAGACAACGGGAGCCTAAATCCACGGTGACAGAGAGAGTATAGTTGTTGCAACATTTAGGGTTTTGAGAGGTAAGTTTGGCAATTTCCGAGAGGATTGACCGACGAAGGCTATCGGGATAAGAATCAAATCCGACGAAAAGGGCGTGGAAATGGAGCGGCAAGAGTAAATTATCGGATCGTAGCTGAGTCGAGAGTGAGTCGATTTCGTTAAACGGAAGAGGAGAACGGTAGATTTCGACGGACTTCCATAAGAATGGGAAACCTGCAAATTCAATTCAAAATAAATAAGAAGAAAAAAGATGTGTTTATTTATTAAGAAAAAAAGGTAAATTTAGAATTAAAGCTGTATCAGAGATATGGAGGCGAACCAAGGAGGAAGGAGAAGAGGACGGAGAAGGTAAGAAAGAGAGGCACTTCAATCCGGGTTTGATTTTACGCATTAACTTCGGATCGAAGTCGGGTTCATATTCGGGTCGTTGTGGTGCTTCACTACCATTGTCTCGTAATTTCGAGGAATCGGAGTCGTGAGCTTCTGAGAATTCGGCCATTGCTGAAGTAGCTGCTGCTGCACTTTCTTCTGTTCTGCACTTTGAAATTACTACACTCAACTGTTGCAAAATCTTCAAGATTGATTATGTTAAATTGTATGATAATATAATTATAAAACTGAACGCTTGAAACGTAAGCCGTCTTAGCTCAGCCGGTAGAGCGCATGGCTTTTAACCATGTGGTCGTGGGTTCGATTCCCACAGACGGCGGTTCACTTTCTTTTTACTCTTCATTATCCATCCAATTCACGCCTATTTCCTTCCCCTTCCTCGGTTGATCTTTTAACCATGTTGGGGTTGATTCAGGCATCTGTAAATCTTGGGGACTCAAAGTTGGGACTTGCGATTCATGGATATATGATTAGGAAATGTCTTTCCATGGATGTCGTGGTTCAGACGAGCCTTCTCGATATGTATGCGAAGAATGGATATCTGGAATATGCTTTGCGTGTCTTTGAGAAGATGCCAAATAAGAATGATATTTCTTGGGGGGCATTGATTTCTGGCTTTGCTAGAAATGCACTAGAGTTGTTGGGAGAGATGCAGGGCTGTGGGTTTAAACCAGACTTGGTGTCCCTTGTAGGTGCTTTTATGGCATGTTCACTATGTGGGTTGTTAAAATTGGGTAAATCGATACACGGATGTATCACTAGAAGGCTCGATTTGGAACAAGTTTCTGGTACTGCAATGATTGACATGTATGCGAAATGTGGATCACTTTCTTATGCCCGTGCAGTCTTTGATCGGATAGTTTCTAGAGATATAATCTCTTGGAATGCAATGATTGCCAGCTATGGGGTACATGGGCATGGAAAGGAAGCTCTATCACTCTTCCATCAGATGACAAACATGAGTTTAAGACCTGATCATGCAACTTTTGCTGCACTTCTCTCGGCTCTCAGCCACTTGGGACTGGTGAACGAAAGTCAATACTGGTTCAATCTGATGGCTAATGAATATAATATTCAACCAACTGAGAAGCATTATGCTTGTATGGTTGATCTTTTAGCTCGTGCAGGACTAGTAGAAGAAGCTTATAGACTAATCGAGTCTATGAACAATGAACCGGGGGTGGCTGTTTGGGTTGCTCTACTGTCTGGCTGCTGCAATCATTGGAAGTTGTCCATCGGGGAGGTGGCAGCAAAGAAGGTGCTTGAGTTAAATCCGGATGACTTGGGAATTCATGCATTGGTCTCCAACTTCTTTGCCAAGGGAAACATGTGGGTTGAAGTAGCTGCCGTCAGGAAACTCATGAAAAACTCGGGAAAGAAGAAAGTATCCGGATACAGTGTCCTGGATGTGAATGGGAAGCTCCATGCTTTCCTTATGGGAGATAAAAGCCACCATGAATATGAAGCTATAGCATCCGCATTGGATAAATTGGACCGTGAAATGAGTTTCATGGTTAATTGAAGGGCTTCCTGTAGCATTCGGCCTCTAAAACTCAGGTTTGCGAATCCTCACTGCTGGATAATGACCGTTTGAACCCAAGTTTCATTCGTTGCAAGGATTGTAGATCGAGGGTAATTGCAGGAACTATAATGCAGGTTCTTCTCTCCAAACTGTCAAAACAGCCTTCGACAATGCAGCGAAGAAATCCAGCCTCTCCTAAATTATGCTCTTCTTCTTCCATATAGATTTAGTACACATGTAAGTACTCCTTTCAGTACCCTCCTTTATGCCTTCAACAATAAGCATAGCTGGCCTATCTTTAGTACTGTGTTTATTTTAACTTTTTAGCTGAGCAAAGTTAATTCTGTGTTAAATAGCAGGGTTTATGAGGGAGGAAATTGAGGCTAGAAAACTGCACCAATGTGAAGGATCAAACGGGCACTGCAGAAGAAATCAGGGAACCAAATTGCCCCTGAATGTGAAAAATTTTGTTCATAATTTATTTATTTTTACTCTTTCTTGGTGTTTGGTACGATCTTATTGATGAATGTTTCTTAATTAGCTTTTTAATATTCAAATAAATTATTCTTAATAAAGCTACATTTAGTTATGTCAACAATTAACATTTCAAGAGTTTCAAAATTTTCAACAATGCAGAGGCCTACTTCCCCCCACCGCACAGATCCCTTTTAAGTCTCCTTAAGTAACACCAATCGGTACACTAAACAAGGATTTTTTCTTTCTCTGAGCCCTTATCCTGAAGCATGATTCTGAAGGTTGTGGTTATCTTCTAATAAACGATCATATTCGAGTAGCAAATCTGCAGATTGTTTTTGAAGAGAAGCAATGTGTGCTTCAGCAGTTTCGATCTTCTTGTCTTTCTCTTCGGATTCTGATTTCAGCTTCTTCAAATTCTCTGATAGGGTAGAGATTTCTTCTTTCAGTAGCTTTATCTCCTTGGAGGCTTTGTTGTCCTTATTTTTAAGCTGTGATCTTTCTTTCTCAAGAGATTCGACTTCCTCTTTTGACAATCCCACCCTACTCCTCAACCCGATAAGTTTTTTAATATAATGGTGCATACGATCAATTATGAAACCGAGAAACAAGGTAAAACCTACAAGATCAAGCTCAGACAGTCACAATTATGCACTAATACCAATAAATAAAGGGGTAAGAAAAGAATAATCATTTCACTTGATATTACAGGCATGAAGCTTATTCAGTTTCAGACCAGCAAACGCTTAGAACTGCAGTTCATAGACGGCAAAGGTGTAAACTGGCAACAAATGATAACTGATAACTGATAAAATAGCACTGTTCTTGCCCTAAACACCTTGAACCAAGTACAATGCATATAATAAGCTTCGAACTGTTTAATTTTCAGCAAGGTTTTTATTACAAGACATCCATTTTAAGAAAGGCTTGTGACAGGAGAGCATACTAGTTACAAGAGACGGTAAAGTTTACAGTGAGAATATTCATGTCAGTTATGTTACATACAGAATTACATATGTTAATTTGATCCAACCGCTTCTAATCCTACATGCTCCGCAAAGACAAACAAAAAATGTAGCAATGCTAGATTATTGGTGGATATGTGAGTTCATACGCACTAGGAAGACAAGAACTAACCCCGTAAGACTGAAATAACCAAACACTTGCAAGAACAAGAGACAAAGTATAAGAGTGAAGGAAGCCAAGGTAATGTCCTGACCATGACACTAACCACAACTAACCTCCAAATGCTCTGGAGTTCAAATCCAGGTCTCCACCTATAGAATACAAACTTGGTTTCACTTGCCAAAATGGTCTAATGATTTATCAAACAAATAGGCCATTTTGGACTGCAAGTTTCAAAAAGCTACATATATTACTGCTCGAACACCGAGTGATGATGTATTAAAAACTAGAACATATATTACTGCTCTTCTTTAAGACCCATTGACAAAACATCTCATCAAAAGATTAAAGCACTCCTAATGTACTTATGCAGAAATCGACTAAACAGGCAGTAAGACTTTATAGCTTATGTACCAGATTTCATGATATGTTAATATATTAGCATTGCTTTCTCTGATACAAAATGCATGTAATTTTCCAATGCAGAAAGACGAACTATTCAACGACCTCGAGCGGTTAGTCTCACCTATTTACCCTGCAGTCTTCTTCAGCTGCAAAGTTTGTTCTCATAGTTTCAACATCTACCTTAAAACCAGAGTCACCAAACAACATTGTACTTTGTAGGAGGCTAAAACAAAGGCAATAATTTAACAGTCAAGCAAAAGATTCTAAGTTGCTAACGGATAATGCAGAAACCAAATGAGGCGTGAGAAAAGAGCAGAATCATACCAATGAGTGAAGCTTCAAGCAAGTGGGTTCTCCATAGAACCTGATCCATAGGTGACATGGTTCCAAGCTTCGCACCCTTGTTCTGGATCTTGACAATGCTCATGAGGCTCGACAAAAGAATCACAGACATGGTACCTGCAATGGTTTTCACAGTAGCAGGACCTTTCCCCGCCTTTAATTGATCTAAGCTCTTTATGAAGAGCTCTCTTAAAGGCCCAATCTTTACCAATAGAAGGAACGCCATTGTTCCCTCAGCAAAAAGGACAAAGAACAATAGCTGAATCATCCTAAAAGACTTGATTTTTGACTCGACGGTTATCGATATTTCATCAGATAAAAGAGGGGAAAAGGGAAATTCAGTAAGAAACTAGTGGGAATCTTTGGTTCTGGTTGCTGGTTTTTAGTTTGTCAACAAAAACTTGAAAAAAAAAACTCCATTTCAGTGAAGTGGGATTTATCTTTGGAAAAAAGAAGCAGAGGGTTTAACACTAAAAGAGGTACTTATTTCCTTCTTTGCCTTTTCTTCTTTATTTTATTTCCTTCTTCGCATCGAAGTTGATCCGTGTAAATTAAGGAACTAAGCTTGGGGATTAGTGGTGTGTGGTCTGCTAATGGGCTTGCTTTTCAGACAAAAAAAAGGAGCATGAAAATAAGACAATATTCTAGGTTACAAAGGAATTACGATGAGGCAGTGTTTGATTATTATATTTTGGATTCGAATTATTAGATCAATATAACAGAATTAAAACTCAAATAATTTTGTCTAACTTGAGATTTAATATAATTTAATTTTAAATATAAATGAAGCTCGTATAATTATTTAGTGGACATCAAAAGATTTTAAAGACTCATATGTAGGAAATTTTAAAAATAATATTGAATATTATTAAATTGTATGTTCTGTATCATTTTTATCAATAAATTTTAAAATATTTTAATTTTAAAATTTAATTTAATTTTGAATTTAAATAAGAGATTAAATTATTAACTATATGATGATGTGATCATTCCTTCTCCATGAACTTTAGTTTATATATATATATATATATATATATATATTAATTTTATCACTGAACTTTAAATTGCTTCGAATTTAGACAATAAACTTTAGATTATTTATTTATTTTATCCCAGTGGAAAATTGTCAACTCCTCTAATTGTTGTTGTTCATATTTCACCTTTCTTTATTCTTCTTAATTGGTTTATACGAAACATGCTTAAAATCGATAAAAATACACCTAAAATTTAATATACTAATGCTTTAATCTCTTTCGACGATCATTTACTGAGACAAATTTCAAACTATATTATTGGATCGAAAAGAGAACATTATCTCATTTAGCATGATGAAGCATCAAAATAATAATGCATTATGCTCTTCTTGCTATTTTGGGGTTGCTTGTGCGAACTACTGCTGCTTTTATATGATTACTCTTATTGATGCAAACTGATCCGAATGCAAATATTTATTGCTTTATTTAAGCTTGTTACTAATAATTTTGGTGACTGGGACGAGAATAACCCATCCTCCGCCGATGGTTACACACACATTTTTAATCAGGCGAGAGAAGAGAGGAACAACGGAGGCAAGGTAACACCGGGAAAGCGATCTCCATACAACACTGCCCTAAATAGGAAACCAACAGCAGTGCGAACTGCGAAGGTATGCTTTCCGGACTCCGGTGACCTCACTGAGCACTTTGATTGCTACGCCATTGGTTTCTGAAAATCTTACACACGCATATATATATATATATATATTGTCAACACACATTTTTCGTCCTACTAGGATTCAAACTCTCAAAAATAGGATAGAATTCTGCTAGGATTCAACTCCTAAAATATGATAGAATTTTGCTATGTTTTAAACTCCTAAAGATAGGATCCACAAGCACTATAAATAGCCATTGTAGCTCACTATTGTAACACACGATTGACAGACGATTTACACACAAAACATAGAGGAAAGCACGGGAAGATACAAAGGCAAAACTATTGTAAAGGATTCGAAAAGGATATAAAAGGTAGCATTTTCTTTTTTCTTTCTTTTGCATGTGCACGTTATTTTTCTTGAGATTTAGTTCGAATAACTCAAAACGTGGGTTGCGCCGATGACCAAAATGGGTAGGGTTTCGAAGTTTCGAACCTAGATCTACCCCGAGGCTTATTTTGAAATACCGGTTTGATTTTCGGTTAAATGAGGAGAAGAGCTTTTTAAAAATCTATATTAGTCCATTTATTTATTATATGGATATTTTATTCATTTATTTTTATTATTCATGTTATTATTATTATATGTATATATATATATTTTAGATTATTCTCATTCTTTTACTATATTTTATTATTATTATATATATATATATATTTCTTTAATATTCTACTTATAAATCTATTATTATTATATATATTGTAATTATCTTTATCTAGTCATATATTTTTTATACTTTTAATAGTTTATTTATATACCTATTATTAATATATATATTCTTAATTATTTTTATTTGATTATTTTTTTATTTACGTAATATATCTTATAACTTTATATATATATATATATATATATATTATTTTCGTTTTTTTATTTATTATTATTATATTATTTTTTTTAAAAACCTTATGTCTTTATCATTATTATTATTAAATATTATATTATATATTACTAACTTAGAGGACCCATTTTTTTGTCTTATTTCTGACTAAAGCCTCTCACTTTCGGTGAAGTGAGAGGATAGTTTTTCTATTTTTAAATATTTGGTGTATATATATATATATATTTTTCCTTTTTCAAATATTACTATATATAATTATTACTTTACTATTTTTTTCCTTTATCTTATTTATTTATTTTATTTATTTTATTTTTCCCTTTTATCTTATTTGTTTTCTTTATCTTGTTTATCTAACACATTTCTCGATTTTTTAAGGATATTTTCAAATCAATCAAGGGTAAGTAATTGGGGTCGAAACTTTACCTTTTAATTTAACTTGTTATTTTTCTTAATTAAGACAACTGGAAATTACGTAGTACCAAAAAGGCGGTTCAAGGGTGCTAATCCTTCCTTGACCGTAACCGACTCCCGAGCCCGACATATTTCTGGTAAGACGCAGATCAGGTAAGAAATAGGGTATCCGATCAACCCATTTATTTTTAAATAAATGATCGGTGGCGACTCTAATCCACATTTTTCAAGTCGAAGCCCAATTCCGGGGCCCAACCGAAAGACGGTTACGACAGCTTGGCGACTCTGCTGGGGACTTTCAAGTGAGTCAGGCTAAGGTAATTTTCAGTTGTCTTTTTAACGAAAAGGGTAAGTTTAAATTTTAAGGTAACATTTCGATCCTTATTGCTTACTTTTGATTATATTTTTTCGAGTAAATAGTTGTACTAACCGTTTTCTCAATGATTTCAACACTTAAAGTCTTTTTTCATCTAAGGCTCTATACCCGAGCTCCGAACCCTATTTAAGTGGGGGTGAAAGCGACGCCTTCGTGTGAATTTATTCACCGTGCGGGCCTAGCAAGTAGCCTTCGGGATTCATATACCTTATGTCTTCGTGTGAATTTATTCACCGTACGGGCATAAGGGAATGTGTCCTCTCGAGTTTAACTTAGTCCACACAAGCCTGTGATGGGTTTAGGACTAAGGGTCTGGCAAGCCCAATGGGGCACCGGCAAGGATAACTCGGGTACATTTTTTAGAACCTAACCCGAGAGACTTTGAAGAATTAGAGCCTACCCCAAAACCTCATTCCAAACCCTAGGATACCGGAATTATTTCCTAGTTTACTTTATGTTCAAAGCATGCGAACTAGAAATTTATGCGGTTAGGACTTGTTCAAAATCAACTTGCGGGATAGAGATCATGTTCGGGTAGGAATAATAAGCATGTGAGGTAGATATCATGTGGGGTAGGACTTTCATTTTTATGATCATTTTTTATTATTTTTCACCTCACTAACTCTTTTCATCTTTCTTTTATTTTATTTTATTTTCATCACTTGCATCATTCAAAAGAGGTCATTGATCCACTAAAACGTGTTTGTTAAAACTCGAATAATCTGAATCCATGGACAAAGGTGTTGTAATACAAGAGATGAAAATATAGAGGATAGTCTACAAGGCGACTATGTGTCACATTCAATCCAGAAGACGTGGTGCCCACAATTGAAGAGTATATCACTCTGCTGCATTATAAAGGACTCAGAATGAACCAGGTCTACATCAAGCACAATGAAAGCTTATCTTTAAAGAACTGACTGGCAGAGGTTACAAGGGCATGATGAAGGTTATGTATCTTGGAAGTCCCTTTGAACACGACAATGGAAAAATAATAGCTGAAATTGGAGACCATTGCTGGCGAATTCAAGAAACAGATTAATGAACTTCACATAGTTCCTATCAATTAAGGGCTCCAATGACGAATTCGTTGGGAATAGGCTCAACAAAAGTAAATGCTCGAGATGCGATCATTCGAGAATTCTTGGACCAGTACGAAAAACAACTCAACATTTTCACGGTTCATCCAGAGAGGCCGGAGCGGTTCGACAGGTTATTCAACCGGTGAAAGATGAAAGCAGAAGACTAGTCAACATGTCAGAAGCTGTCAGGATATTTTTGTCTCTTAAAAGATAAAACATTTTTGTCCCCAATAAGGATTATTCATAATAACAGGCACATTTCTTAGATCAATGCCTCGAACATTTCATGCATTTTTGCATCTTCATCTACATTTTAAAGCATTTTCATGAAATTTCTTCCTAGAAGATTCGATGAAGTGGATTTAACCACATGGAAGCAAGATTGTAATCTTAAAGAAAAAAAAACTGAAAATAATACAATGGGAGCCTGATCAGCTGATTGTAGGACAAAGCCTGCCATGATGATCTAAAGAATCTCCATATCCTAAGGGCTACGATGTTGAAGCTGTTAGCTGTTACCACATAAGAAACCCCAAACATTCCTCTAAAATCTGTAAGGCACTTGTCGAAGGGGGCATGACATATACCATTTGCACTTAGAGGATTGTTTTGTTTGAACACATCTTTTAATCGATTGAATTCATGTTACTTTCTAAGGTGGAGTAATTGAACAAATTTTAATCTTTAGTTCTTTGAATATTAAATGAATTAAGGATTCTTTTAATTCTTCAAGAATTATAGATTTTTTGATATATGACAAGATTAGACATTTCTTATCCTCTATCAAACCCCAGAATAAAATACCTTGATTCTTTGCCCAAAATAACTCATGGTCATTACCAAAAAGACCAAATTTTGACATTACCTCCCTTTGAAATTCTTGAACATTGCCTTTATCTTTTTGATACACCCATACCTTTCTTTGAGTCAATAAGATCACACCACTGTCTTTTTAGACTCAAAATTGACATTTTAACCCAAGGCGTTGAGTTGTTCATCTGAACATGAGCTTTATTCTAAAGACACAACTTGGGGCATCTTGCGGGGAGCTTGAACATTGAGACATCTGGGGAAAAAGAAGAATTC